TTTACACCGGCTTTACTGAGAGAAGGTTTTCCTTCAATTTTATTTTCCTTTGGCAAGTGGAAATATTGAATAATTTTGATTAATTAATTCTTCTCTTTGGTGTCCCCCATTACAAGTCATGTCCTCGTGAAACCTTTTTGAGTTCAATGACAGTCCTTTGCTTAGATCTGACTTTCTTTATTGTGAACTATCTCATATTCAGGATAGTATTCAAACAATTGAGGCACAATATGTCTCTTTCCTCAACTTTGGAAAGAGAAGTTGGAAGAGAACACATTTACAAACGATTCCATAAGATCTCCGTTCTCAGTTTTTTCCTCAATTCCTAATTCGGATGATATCTCTTGTTGGAAAGTATGGAAATTGAGTTGCGATAAAAAAATTTGGCAAATGAAAATGTCCAGATGGTCGAAATCTCTTATGAAACCAGTATTTACTTAATGCATTGTATTAGGTTTTATATCTCTTTGTGCGTGTGTCTTTTAATATTCTAACATGCAATGTTCAGTAAGCTAGATTTTTGTAAATTTGTTACAAACGTTAAAGCTCATATCCTAAGAGCGTTATCTCAATTACGATGACGGGATGTTCAATCCTAATTGGCGCGTTCAAAACTGGTAATTTATTCCCTGTCTTACCTCAGCTATTTTTTTCACACAGACCTATCCAATTTAAGTATCAATGTAAATCGGAATGAGTTTGGGCAGGCAAAAGTGAATTAGGTAGAAATAATGAAAAATCTATTTGACTGAAAAAATATTGATTCCGAGGTTAATAGGTCAAGGGCAGGAAAATATACTATCAAGTGCATATGTACTTGTAGACTTGTTTTTAAAGGCAGTCCAACGGGATCGATAAGATCTTTCTGTTTTAAAAAAAGATGGTTAACAAGCTGTTTCACAAGATGAATGCGATTACATCAAAATAATCCCACAATTTATTTTAATAAGTAATTTTCTTAATCTGGCATATCATCAGCTTTAAAGGTTATACAAGTGCAAATTTAAGTACTGTAAACAAACATTTCTGCAAATACGTAAATACCTTCTTATTTATCAACAAAACTAATTACGGCTGATCGAACTGCGAGATTTAAAATTTCATTGTAGAGGTAAAGTAGGAAAATGTATACTATTTATTCAAGCCAAGAGTTGCTATTTTTATATTGTGAAATTGAATTTTCATCCACGCCAATAGCATTATTTAAGGAAGCATTTCAAAATATCACCTTAGCGTATTTTGTTACTCGTGTTTATAAGATCAAATTGGCCTATCCTTCTCCATTTACCAAAACACACATCGTGTGTGAGGTTACAATTTAATTTGGGTTAATGAAATGTAATGACATTATTTCGAAAAAGTGAATTTAATTCAAATTTCGACTAGAACAATACTGCTTCTGTATGTGATGAAACTAGTCTCGAAGAAATCCATGTTAAAACTGTGAGTTGTAAATTTGTTGCTTGAATGCGATTTTTTGCAGATAATGGAGCAGACATCCTCGGTGCCATCCTCGATAAACTATGGTATAATTAACTTCATTTGTTTAAATAAATAGTTGTAATTAACACAGGCGACTGGGAAGGTAAAACTTTTAATGTTAAGAGGTGAGATCAGTACCGACAATGTAATGAGCTCCAATGACTTTCTGACGGTCAAAACGTTGCCTATCATGATATCATTCACAACAATTGACATTCTGTTGAGAAGAAGCATAAAAATTACTAATAAATCGATTAAATAAAAATTCCAAATAAGGACACGAGCAAATGCCAAATATTTTATCCAATTACTAACACCTCTCATTAACACCAAAGACACTAAAGTTATCTAAGTGGTTGCCCGGATGAAATGCTAGTTTTGGACTCATTAATAGACCTATAAAAATGTAATTTCAATTATTAACTGTATGTTTATCCACCCAGAAAAATGCCCCTATAAGTGTTTAATATACATATATAAGTGTGACTAAGCAACGAATGGACGACACATATTCCGGTATAGAAACTGAAATCCATAAACCTCATATTCAAGTATGCAGACCTGATTGAGAACAGATATGTCGTCGTTAATTGTCGTATTACAAATCGACAAACATAAAATATTGAAATAAGAGATTTAATGGAGACAGATTTCCTGAAATATGGTAATGATCTCCACATTCGGTTAGGACCAGTGTTAACTAATTTCAAAGTGGCAGATTGGTGCCATTCTTTAATAGTAGTTTAGTTGTCATCAAATCAACTATTTCGGTAAATATCATTTTAAGCTATCTCAACTTCTCCCTACAGAAGTGCTTTAAAATCTTGAATAAAAGTTAATGATCACCGAACGGCAGATTTTGGAATGGCAGCGTAGAGGAGAACCGACAATCCTCGATAAAGACCACGAAAACCATGAGTCTTGATAGTTTGCTTGGTGCAATCGATAGGTCCTTTAAAACGACGAGCTGTTCCCATACGTTCATCTAGTTGAAGCTGGGTTTTAACGTACTCAGTAGGGAAGGTGATTACAACTTCTATTGCGCCCGTGATTCCACCTGATGATGAGTATATGAAACGTAATATTCATTCTCAAAATACTTGTTTAAAACCTGCTTAGAGTAAAAGTTTAAAGTAATACTTAAAACCCAATACGTTAACTGTCGGTATGTGTTTATGCAATTATAAATTTGTGCACGAACGAAGTATTAAAACAAAAAAACATAAATTTTGAAAAAAAGAAATAGCATTTAAAGATAGGGAAAATTCAATTTAATGCGATAGGTCGGTGCCACCTTTCCTCATTACCTTAAATAATGAATTACCTGAGGTTATTCCCATCATTGTATGATGAAGACATTTGGCGTCTGTCATTGTGACGAATATTTCAATGTCTAAAGCCAAAAGTCAACGAAAGTAGTGTAAGCAAGACTTGCACATTAATTTTAAAAATGAAGTGGTAGTACAAAAATATCGATTCTATGGAATTTTGTTTTCTTTAAAAATATAGTATCGTAGCTATTTTAAACGGTTAAAATTCTATATAAATACATAAATTCTAATGAAATTAATTTATATGTAAGTTTATTAGAAGTTGATATACTTCAACTGTTCTGCAAAATATCAAAACCGTATTGCCTCATTTGACCTAATGATTTACAAACATAGGTAGCTTAAACTAAAACATTTCATTTAACAATACATCTTCAGCCATCGTTTTATTAACAAACAATTTAAAAACCACTGCAAGTATTTTTCCCATCGAAATTGTTTTAAACTAAGTTTTTAGATTTTCTATTTTAAACAATATTTATCGATCATCGTTTATTTATTGATTGTCTCGTCACAGTTCGTGTATGGTATCTAGGTATTGCAAAATATCAATGTCGAATAAAAATATTAATTTCTAGCCAAAGTAGTCTTAAATCACATTGAAGTCTTCTTCAGATTAACGAATTTGTAAGCCAACAAAAGGGGGACTATAAATTGACTTTCTCTCCGCACAACTTATCTGTTGAATTTGTTTTGAAATAAAATTTGCCTAGGTATACTATTCCTCAACCAGTTATACTCTTTTCAATTAAAATGAAAAAAAAAGTTTGAAATTCATGAGTGATTTATGTAAACTTATGTAACGCCTTCCTTTTTTGACAATTAGTTTCTGTAAATTCACATTTAGTATAAATTAGCTGAAGACTAAAATGAATCGAAAATTTGTGACTGTATGTGCACTAATATATTAAGCCACTAAAAACATGCCATTGTTATAGACGTAGATGCTTTGATTATCGTGATGAAATTCATCCAAAAGGTTCGGTCATTTACTTAAAGCAATATGAATACGCTAAATGGTTTCGAACAAACAAAAAATTAACATGGCCTTAATTCAAAAGTATAGATAAATCGCATAACATGACCACAAAACAAATGAATAGCCATTCTGGTTTGACCACTTCCATTTCGCGAGAATTAATAAAGGTTCACGAGGACCAGAAACTTAACTTTGTCTAAAATATTAAAATCATATAGTTGACCTAACGAATTTTGATTGGCCGCATATTAGCACCACTCCTGATCGGTGTCCTCGTATTAAATGCTCGATTTTCATTTCTATCTATAAAATACAGAATGAAAACTCGATGACAAATCAGGTAAAAGTAAATATATAATTAGCTACAGTTATAGTTATTCAACTAGGAACTTAAATGTCAAACAAACAAACGCCCTTGTGTTAAGATTTCAAAGTATTCCTAATAATTTTCATAATTATAATTTTGATACTTGTGATTTTATGCTGATTACATTTATCAGAGAGTCTTGCTATTATTTCCATTAAAATAAGTATAGGAATGTACTCAACTGTTATGGAGTGGTCCAATGTTCCATTGCCAACGGAGAAACGATTACAACATTTTATTCATTCATACAATCTTCTTACAATCACAAGGTCAACAAGTATACTTAAGATATACGCTATCATTTATACCCGAGTAGCTCAAGACAAGATGGAATAATTTATCTTTTGCATGTTAAATGAAAATCATAAACAATTACTTGTGACAATTCTCTAAAATTTAATCAAAAATTTATCTTTGCAGTCCGATATTTATGATATTGATAAAATAAAAAGTAGGAAATAATTTTTCATTGGCGGAACAACGCAATTAGGCTTACACTCAGCTTTCGCAATACGATTTATTTTACTCCAGTGAATGTCTTCCCATAACCAATTAGTATTGGCCAAATTAAAATCTGTCTATAAAAAATCAATTAGATAAGCAAAAAAAATATATTTCAAATTGAAGCAATAATTGCCGAAAATGTTAATCTAAAATTTACTAAGCATAAATTTTTTTATCTAAATGTTACTTTAAATTATTATCGGAACCTGCTTCAGTAAAATCAATTTCTACGTTTGTTAAACACTTTCCGCGTAATTCAGTTGATTTGGGCTTTGTTTTCGTGCCGCTGGTTCGTCTCTCTACAAATGAAGTTTTCATTTTTGTTTCCAAATGGGCGAATTTATACGCTAGATACTCCAAATGATACGCTAATGAGCCAACTGAGACTGATGATCTCGTTTGAGGTCGGAGCTTCGGAATCGGATCTTACATTCTTCAAGAATAATAAAGCCCTTCCTATCGAGTCCACAAATACAGTATCGGATTGTGGATTATCAGATGAAGATATGATTTCTGTTAGAATAAATGGGTCCAGAGTATCAGTATGCTTGGTTTGTTCATTCATTTCTCTCCTAGAATCCGTCTCGTTCGTCTTCATCCACTTCGCAAAATCCCATGGTTCCTATTGAAACTGTTGAGATACTGCGTCAGCAATTACTTAACCTCCCTCCTGCTCAACTTGAATCAATGCGTAGGCAAAACCCTCGATTATATGATGCCCTAAATGATCGTGGTAAGTGCCTATTTGTTTACCTTCTTTATATGACTTCTTTTACAATCACGTACATTTTTCTCTTATTTTCAGAGGCATTCTATCGAATATCTCAAAACTTTAATGAACCCGACCCCGCACGCGAATTGGTCAACGCTGATCCTTTTGACCCGGAGGTCCAACGGAAGATTGAAGAATTAATCCACGAAAATAATATTAATCAAGAGATGGAAGCCGCGGTAGAAAATTACCCCGAAACCTTCGGCCAAGTCACTATGCTCTACGTAGCTTGTGAAGTAAATGGCCACCCTGTGAAAGCCTTCGTCGATTCTGGAGCTCAGATTACTCTCATGAGTCTAGAATGTGCTCGAAGATGTAACCTTGAACGATTAATTGATAAGCGTTTTCAGGGCATGGCGTACGGTGTTGGCTCGCAAAAAATTATCGGTCGGGTCCATCAAGCTATGCTGAAATTCGAAAACACAACGCTTCCCGTAATATTGCCTTTTTATTCTAATTTCTCTTTAGACATCTTTTCTCATTCTGGACCAGCAAATGGACATCATGATTGGGTTGGACATGCTAAAAAGGCACAGGTGTTGCATAAACCTGGCTGAAAACGTCCTTCAGGTCGGTGATTATGCTCGTATCCCCTTTCTACCTGAATCGGAGCTGCCTCATTATGCTAAACTTTCTCCTGAAAGAAGTGCCCAACCAGGATCAAGTAGGACCGAACGGGTAGGTTATATCATCTTTCGTTCAGTTCGTTATTTGTTGGTTTATTCCGTTGTTTTGTTGTACCATGAGTTTTTCTTGCTGCGCCGGCGTCATGTTAAAAGCCCTTTTTCTCCTGTTGCGCATGTTAGTGTTTGATTTAAGTGGGTGTAGTTCTCTGACTGCTCGATATGAGTTATTTATTCTCGAATGTTCTATCTGGTTACTTACTTGAGCTTGCAAGTATTTTTCAACTCGGGATTGGTAAATCATTTTGAAATTGCTTATCTTGGTGAGAGCACTGTCTCATTTTTATCAGGTCTGTTTTCGAATATTGTTATGGTCTTACGATTATTGAATTACTGTCCTTTATTTCATGAATTACATTAGTCTTGTAGATTATTGCAATTGAAAATACCTCTACACCGTCTTACTCAGTGAACTCTCATTTTATATTCCTATTTCGAAATTTCACTCGAAGTTAAACATGATTGTCGTACCATACAGTCCAAGTAATTTACATACTATTTGATGATTATTTGAGCTATTATTCAATCAGATTTGAGAGTAGTCAACTACTTTGAACATGATTGCAATTCTTATTATTAATGGGTTCCCGATAGTTCTTTGTGATTCATTTGTCTTGTATTAGTATTTTCTGGATCAATTAATGCAATAAGATCTTACTTTATCTTTTTTCGCTTTTCGGGGATACTTTTGAACAAAGTGTACCTTGAAGGAATTTCTTTTTATTGGTTTCTGAGATTTGTGGGCATTTCCGGTGACTTACAATGGTTTATAATTAGGGGTGAGCACGCATTGTCTCTGACGCTGTTACGATGACTTCGTGGTTATAGGTTTCTAACAATGCAATGGATTTCTCAACCCCTCTTGCCGCAGACGAGGTTATTAATGTTTGATGCTATTTAAACTTTCATCAGGATTTGGGGCGTGGGGTATTTTACCCAAAACAATTTTAATTATCAATTTTTTATCCATTACCCTGTATAGCCTTGGATTATAGCATGCCTTTAAGGCCCTTATCTATTTTTATTTAACTCTGAGATTCGTGGCTATTGTAGTGGGTTTTATGTAGGTTATGACGGATTTGAAAGCTGTTCTGGGTCTTCTATCTGATATTTGCATTCAGATCGAAGAATAGGAAACTTTTACCAATTGAGTGTTTTAATCAATGCTTATATGTTCATTTTTTATTCTTGAGATAAGGTGTCTTTTACTTCTGTTTTGTTTAGTGGGACTTTGTTGTATTTCGGAACTTTGATATACTATTGCTACTTATCCTTAGTTGGTGTTATGCAGGTTTATTATTTCCCTAGAATTTCTCCGAGGAACAATTGTCGAAGGTGGAACTCTTAACAAGCCAAAATGTGCCCCGTGATCGTGCAATTGCTCTCCTAGAAGCCTCAAATTGGGATCCAGACGTTGCTCTGGTGAACTACGTCAGTTCCCTCCCTTAACCCCTCCCATTACACCACTACTCCTTAGGTTTTGCATTCCCCTCCCCTCGTTTTCTCGTAGACTTTTCTTTTCTAGGTCTTCAGTATTTATTTATATATGTATCTGTATGTAAAATTTTCCTCAAATCGTTATCTCCTTTACTTTCCCCTTTACTCAAATTTGTATTCATTTGAATCTCCTTTATGGAGTATGATGACGATTTGTGGAAATATAAAAGAGCAAGGGATCGACTGGATTTGAAAATCACTTCTACTTGTTGTGGGTAACTAGACAAGATATCGACTTTTTGGTTTTTGTTCATAAGTTAAATTTGGCAGTGCCGAGTGTATTGTGAAGTACAATTTTGTACGTTCATTTAATCAATGTTTGAATAAATGGTCTTTTCACATTTGATCTATTGCCGGCGCTAATGTCTGTCATGTTAAAGGTGCGTTATCAATTTTAATGGAGCATTCAATTCCAATTAAAGCAGCAAAAATCCCACCAATAAAGTAATTTTCGGACCTCAATCAAATTTTGCCATGTTCTTCTTTGAAAATTTAATGGTAAACAGGACGTGATATGAAAGACAGCAAAATCAGTGGATCAAATATCTCCACACTTTAAATTTTCGATCTTAGCACTGGGTTCTCAAGTATTTACTTTGATCAAATAGCAGACTTTATGGTAGTTACTATTAGCCCCTTAGTTGACTTTGGTATTTAAGGTGAGAAGGAACATCACAGTTACAAGAAGTGGAAAGAGGAGAACAGAAGAGCGATTCACTGTTGTAAGAGAGACAGACACAAAGGTCAAGAAAATGGTAGATGAGGTGAGTGCTCTGAAAGTGGTCGAATATGACATACAGACGGGTCATGGTAGTTTATAGTCAATTGCCGGTTTGTAGACTTTTGCCGTATGAGTACACGTCGCCATAAATATGTGTTATAAACTCATCGAAAGTTCAACTTTATAAAATTTAAACGGATTTGACCTCTTTATTGATATTTTTGCTAACAGATAGGCTTTTAATAATTGCAACTGACTTTAACCAAGATCTCGAACTTAGTTTTCCAACTGTCGCACTTATTGGCCATAATCACTGAGCCCTTCATTTCATTATCTAATAATCAGAGATCAAAATTTTCTTTTGCTTCGAAAATGATCTTTTGATTGCCTGCGCAGGCTTGCTAACAAGAAACTCAGTATCTGTCAAGTCATTGAATAATCATGCTTGTAGAGATCCATTTCCCATTATCTTAACTAACACAACCGTTTAATCAATATTTCAAATTGAATTTGCACTTAATTAACTGTTCAGTGTTGCAATTATCATTGCAATGGTAATTATGAGGTTTAGTTCACAAAGTTCGTATGGGTATTTTAATTACTTGTCTGGCTGCATTCAATGAAGAATATTTTATCCAATATTCTTTTAGGCGGGGTGCGCGATAGACTTACCTCCACGTGGTGCACCCTGGGCAACGTATACTCATACGGCAAAAAACTCTATTAACTAACAGTTGACTTCTGACTTCAAACTACCATGGCCCGACTGCTTGTCATATTCGACCACTTTCACAGTACTCATCTTACCTTTTTCTCTATATTTGTGTTTGTCTGCCTCTTTTACATCTGTGAATCGCTCTTCTGTTCCCCACCCCTCGACTTTCTTCTACTTTGATTAACCATCCCTCTATGAAGCCCGAAGTCAGCTAAATGGCTAATGATAGCTATCAAAACGCCTGCCATTTGATATAAATATATAAATAAATATATTCTTTTAGGCAACCGTTAAGGTTCGTCACATGATACTTGAAGTGGTTTTATCACAAGTTCATTTTTAAAGAAAATGAGAGAAATTTCTTTCTAAGGTATTAATAATGAAGCCTCTCTCTCTCTCTCACACTTCTAATTCTTGAAGTCAGAAACAAATTCCCACACTGGAGTTGCGGGATTTATAATCCAAGTGGTGGCTTTATGTGATTTGATGGGATTGACAACTCTCGCCTGCGCATTCTTTCCTTATTCAGACATGCAGACTTCACACAATATCTGCTTATTGCTTTCATTTTCAC